AAAAAATGCCCAAATCGATTTGGGATTAGGGTTCTTAGTGGTGAAGGAGAAATTCGAATTTTTTGGGTCAATTCATGGGGAGATTACGGGGCAAAACTACAGCGACTTGGTTTGTAAGAGAAAAAGATAAGTTCTCTATCATTCTTGTTATTCTTGTTCTATTCGAAACATGAATTGTTAGTTTTTTTCTATATTGGTGAATTTAGGGATAATTGATAAAAATTCGAAGTAATCAGAATAATTGGAATTCTTGAGCTTGAAAGATGAAATGTATATGATTCAATTGTAGATGGCTCAGAGTGCAAGTTCGTCAAACATTGAATCAAACAATGAGAATGGTGTTCTTTGTAATTATAACCGAACAACTAAGATTGTGAGAGCTTGGACTAAAGACAACCCTGGACGGAGGTTTTATGGTTGTCCAGGCCGTAAGATCGCGCAAGGATATCAGAATTGCAATTTCTTCCGTTGGTATGATTTAGAGAAACCAAACGGATGGCAACATCTAGCTTTGTTAGAGGCAAGAGATATAATGCGGGGACAAAAAGAGGAGATTAAGAACTTAAAGGAAGAAGTAAAGAAATTGAGTCGGTTAACTGAGAGTGTGCAAGACCCAACTTTAGTACAGGAAGAGTTGAAGCAAACCCGGAAAGAATGTGAAGGACTGAAAAGAGACGTGTTCATTTTAACCGAGAGGAGCAGGATTTATCGTAATGTCCTCATATCAACAACAACTGTTGGATTTACAGTGGCACTTGGATTCATGGTTGGGATGTGGAAGCAGCAGTAACTACTTTGGAGATCAAGATTTGTGACTTATATTTGGTTGGTGTTAACAAACAAATGGTAATTTGTGTTATTATCTGTTTACAACTTGATGTTTTGTTTTTGCTTTTATAAGACAATATGGTATGGCTTAGACTTATTTGTGACTTATATTTGGTTTGTGTTAACAAACAAATGGTATTTGTCTACTTTTATGGTATTTGTTATGTTAGTACTTATTTGTTTTATGGTAATGAATGAAAGAGATTAGAAACATTGGACATACTAAATCCTCTTAAAATCAGTTATAGTACCTAAGAAAGAAACATTCAACATACTTAATCCCCTTAATACAATCCTAAACATCCAAAATCAGTTTTAATGCTTAATATAAAGAAACATTCAATCCAAAATACACAAAACACACATAATAATACCACCAACATCCCCAATATAACAAAGCTCATGCATATCTTCCATCATGTTTTCAAGCACATAGTTTACCTTCTTCATTTCCGCTAAAATATCCTTGAACCAAATCAAAGAAATCGATGATATCTTTTCATCTAAGCAGAAATCGACAAAAGATTCCCAACTGATTTTCGACA